AAGAGATCTGAGTCGTATCCGCGAACGATTTTCTCCATTGCCTTTCTGGACCCTGTAACTGTTCCATCTGAGCGTTGGAATGCAATCATTTTGGTCTCGTAACTGGCGAAGCTTCGGTAGCCTTTCCTAATGCTATTCCCAGCCTCTGCAGCTTCGACCATTACTGCTGCTCTGCTCTCTTTAAGATCTTCTTTATCGCCTGTCTGCACTGTTTTGCAAGTTCTGTTTGCGGTTGCATGGCGCTCGTGCGATTCTACGCTGGCGTATCAGCTCACGTGTTTGTGGAGTCAAACGTCTGTTGGTGAATTTCGAACTCCCAGCTTATATATCTCTGAGAAAAAAGATGTAGAATGAGCCGATCGTATTCTTCGTCGTTGTTATCGACAACGGCATCTTTCCAACAGCGGACTAATGAATTGAGTAAGCCCCAGTTAACGGTGGTTCTGGGACTTCGATTTCCGAATTTAGCGGCCTCTTCCCTTTCCGAGAAAAATAGAATCTTGCGCGAAGGAGGCAATGGTCTGATACAGTGTAGAATTTCGGGACAACGGCGACATCGGCTAGGCAAAACCTTTGATACTCTTTCTTTGGACTGCGTGTAAGGTGCAGTTTCCCTTCACCTCACATTGTTGCAGTTGGTGTAATAACTGTTCCACAAAATAGTTACTATCTCTTTGTTTTAGTGTACATGTATGAGGATAAACCCTTCAAGCGTTTCAGATGAACAGAGCAGCGCAAAGGCCACGTCCTACGGCGTGCGCGTGGCGGTTACGATTGCGGTCGACTGAGAGGCTCATTGCATCACCCTCCTCGCCACTGTGCGGGTAGTTCATGTAGCACCGTCTTGTGTTTTTTAATCGTTCTTATTGTGTGGTTACATCATTGCTGCCTCTTTTCGTTATTGTGTGTTGCACTCATTCTTTGCTTAGCTGGTCTACGGTTCATGGTGAGTAGCGGCGGGTATCTCCAAGCGCGTTCTGTTTGCAACGCCTTCGGTGGCATATCAACCATTCCTCCCACAATGTACGCCCTCCCTATGAGGCCATTGGCCAGCCTGCTTATCCTGTGTAACTGTAACGTCGCCATAGTTGGCTTAAAGGCCCTCAGTCGTTCTATTTCTCTCTCAAGTCATCCTTAGGTCAATTGTTGCACCCATCGTTGCCAAAGTTGACGCTGCAGATATAGCGATATCCAGGACCAGTCGCCTGACTGCGTGCCGCAGATGAATCCACGAATCGTGTCATCGTGCATATGCCTTAGTAAATACTTATTGATTACCTCCTTATTTCATGGTTCATATGATTCATCGATTTGGTATGAACGTGATCATGTAAGACCTACCGGCTACGGCCCTGGTTAGCTGCACTTGCCGTTCTGTTCATCCGCGCCCAGCGCACTATCTTGCTAACTCTGCGTATCTGTGCCCAGCGCACCATCGCTCTCACCAGCCGCACCAACCATTTTTGGTGTGCACGAGGTATTGCACATGGCTGTCTGATCGTTTTACTGTGATGTAATTGCTATTATAAATAGCGTTTTATTAACATTATAATAGTATTCTAGTATCACTGTCATGCACTAGTCACTTTAGTAGCCGTAGCTTCTCACATCCTTTGACTTGCATTATTCGTTTCCCGTACTTTGCTATCTTTATTTTTATTCTATTGGTGTGTTAATCATGTTGTTGCTATATATAACTGTTTAAATGTCCAAGTTTGAGGCTAATCAATCAGCGCAAACCAGGAAGACTCGCGTTTGTTAACGCTGGTCGCTGAGCCCTTTTTGTCTTTTCTCATGTAACTAAGGCTCGAACTTACCCATTTAACAATAAACTTACGACCATGGTGGTCACTATGACACTCATAATAAACCTTCAAGCAGCATCCAAGGCCACAAATAGAAACTGCTGCTGAAACTAAGCTGTTAGCTACCCTAGGAAAATTTCACTTTAGAAGTAGTTAACACGGAACTTAGTCGAAATGGCGCAGCTGATAAACAGTTTCGTCATCACGAGGACGGATTTGCGTATGAGCACAAGCCTCATTCTCAAGATAGATTAATTTAAAACCTGGCTTTAACATCGTGGCTGTTTTTCATTATAAAATGTACTTTGCCTACTTAATCACTTCCATTTAGGCTGTTGATAGTAAGCATTAGTACTTCTTATTGCATCCAATGACGTGCTTGTATTCTTGGGTAGTCCGTCCTCACTGCTTGTGCCGTCCCCAGCATAATTTCCAATTTTTCAGAATTTCGCTAGTTTGACCAATACAGCGAGTTTAGGTAAAAAAAACCCACTTTGTTCTGTAGAGGCAGAACAAGTTGGTTTTGTCATAAGGGGATTCAGAAAAGTAATTTCATTCCGATATTCACAGCGTTTCAGCTGAAGGTGGCAAACCGATCTGCAACCAAAACGAGGATTTCTTCCAGGTGCATGGCGCTACTCATGACATGCCTTACATGGATCACAATAATTATGATATTGCGTGAGGCAACTCTTCAATGCTTCTCAACTATTAAGTTCACACTTTCCTGTGTTTTCTACGCTTCTACCACCTGCTGTAAGTGTGCATTTTCAAATAGGTTTATCTTATAATGTATTATAAGATAAACCATTTTATAATTATAATGCGTTATAAGATAAACCTATTTGAAAATGCACACTTACAGCAGGTGGTAGAAGCGTAGAAAACACAGGAAAGTGTGAACTGAATTTGTTGAGAAGTTGAGAAGCATTGAAGAGTTGCCTCACGCAATATCATAATTATTGTGATCCGTGTAAGGCATGTCATGAGAAGCGCCATGTACCTGGAAGAAATCCTCGTTTTGGTTGCAGATCGGTTTGCCACCTTCAGCTGAAACGCTGTGAATATCCAAATGAAATTACTTTTCTGAATCCCCTTATGACAAAAACCAACCTGCTCTGCCCCTACAGAACAAAGTTGGGGTTTTTTTTTCCGGCCTTGCTGTATTAGCCAAACCAGCAATGTTCTCAAAATTCGGAAATTATGCTGGGACCACGCAACTAGTGTGTATGGGCTGCCCAAGTATACGAGTACGTCGTTGAATTCAATAAGAAGTACTTATGCTTGCTGTCAACAGCCTAAACAGAAGTGATGAAGTAGGCAAAGTATATTTTATAATAAATACAACTACGGTATTGAAGCCAGGCATTAAATTAATCTATCTCGAGAATGAGGCTTGTGCTCATACGCAGATCCGTCCTCGTGATGAGGAAACTGTTTTATCAGCTGAGCCATTTCGACTAAGTTCCCTGTTAACTACTTCTAAAGTGAAATTTTCCTAGGGAAGCTAACAGCTTAGTTTCAGCAGCAGTTTCTATTTGTGGCCTCGGATGCTGCTTGAAGGTTTATTATGAGCGTCATAAAGTGACCACCATGGTCGTGAGTTTATTGTTAAATGGGTAAGTTCCATCCTTAGTTACATGAGGAAAGGCAAAAAAAGGCCGAGCGACCAGCGTTATCCTACGCGTCAGGGATGTGCCATGCATTCCACTCCATTCGTAAAGTCGCGAAGGTAGGTGAATACATATTTGGCTTATACAGTGACTTGCAACGGCCTATAGATGTGCCAAGTCGGCTTTTTTTTTCTTCCAATCAATCTTGTTACCAATTTGCAGAGCCCTAATGAATGCCGGTAGTGCTTGAATAGCCCAGAGCACGTGAACGAACCAACAGTTGCAATTGTTGTAGTAGCGCTAGAGAATATTTAGCAAGTCAATGCACCAGAATTATAGTGGATCTCCCTATAATCTAGAAGGGCAGCGACTGACTCTTGTGGTGGTGACCTGGCGCAGACTTTTGCCTTGCTGACCTCGGGACTCTAAGGAACCACAGTGGCTATGCCAGCAAAACTCGGACATAATGGAGATCGTGCTGGGGTCCGCAAAACCAGTGAGGGCGGGCCATCCAAGCATCCAAGTAAATTAATATCTGGTTTTTAATATCATAAAGGCTTCTTTTGTTATTCGTAGAAAGGTTCACATGAGACTAAAGTTTAGGGAAGAGGCTTGGTTGTCGGTGCAACTGCGAAAATTGCTACAATCACTTGATAATCAGCTGAAGCACTTACCCGTTCAATAGAAGTGCTACAAAAGTTATGAATACACGAAACAGGTGATGCACAACTACTCAAACGTGTCCAATCTTATGCTTCATCTTATTCACTCCTCAGTCTTTTTTTAATTTTTTAGACAGATGCAAGTGATGGAACTGAAATGAGACGTACTTAATGAACGTCACTGGTGTCAAATGATGAAGGAATTACGAGTGAATTGGAGTATTTGCGGGCTTACTCTTGGACAGGTTCGTACCTATGCTTCGATCTTACTTTCTCAGTTGGATGCTTTAACGGCCTGTTCTCGCTGGTTGTCTAGGCCTCAGCATAATTTCCATTTTTTTGGAGTTTTGCTCGTTCTGCCGTTGTTTTCTTCCTGGAGTCCCGAAGTCTGTCTGCTCAAAGTTTGTCCCAGGTCGTCAGCACCACGGGCAGTTGCAGCTCTTGTGGATCAGAGAGAGATTTGCCACCATGCGATTAGTTTGATACCAGGACGGTGGTTCATTCTGGTATTTGTTTGCTCTTAGCTGAGCTTTCTGATAGAAATGCTGGACTCGCTCTCAGCCCGTGAGGCCCTGCCGGGGATGGAGGGGATTAATCGCGCGCTTTACATCGCTGCCCTGCACCCAGGACCATTTCCCAGTCGCGATGAGGCGGTAAGCCGTTAGGTGGCTCGTTGTATGTGCCAGTAGGTATTATAGGCATAAGTGAAATTTGCAGTGGTCATATTTTGGGCAAGCGTTCATGGTTCAATTTATGGCACGGACAATCCATGCTTTTTTGCCTTGTATTCATTGTTTATGTGAAAATTGTAGCGTTTCCACGGAACTTTTGGCATTGTTGAAGAAGGTCACGCAGTCGTCACGGTTCTTGATATAGTCGGAGTGGAACGAGCCTAACGTTTGCTTGACAGAGTCGCAGGTATGTTATCCAACATTCAGAGTGCTCTTGGTGAATACTTGGAGAGGTAGGGGCTATCTTTTCCGCAGTATGTTTATAAAATGATGTCATTTTTGGATTTCGATGAAGTGGTTTTGTTATTTTTGTTCAAATTCTACTTTGTAGAAGACGAAGAATGGGAAATGGTAGAGATATTTCTAGTCTGCAAAGGCATGTCAGGAAAATGTTTACTGGAGTGAATTCTATAGATGTTCTAGAAGAAAACCGCGTTGCAAGTGTAGCATGACAATACTTGGTGAAGGGTATAGCAGTTTTTTTTTCTTGTAGATTTCCGCTCTCCAAAGCAGGGTAGGCGAATGAGTAGAACTTGTCCAGCCGGCCCACACCAAAGATGTTCGTATCAGTGACTGGCTTAAAGCGCTGGATCCGAAATTAAACAAACCGCTAAGTAGAAATATGCTCAGTATTCTATGAATTCCAAATTTTTTGTCAAACTTTTCTAGATTTTTGGGTTTCTTCCTAGCTTATTTCTCAATGTTGGACATTGACGTTGTAAAATCTGAGGAATACATGTTGTGGTTGGATAAGTATCCCATAAGTCTTCTGTATCTTTCCCGTCGTTGCCATAATTCCATTAAGGTGTCTTAGGCTCAAGTCAAAGCATTGACTGCTGAGGCTTGGTGGATGAACCAAATAGATTTCATGTTCGCCGATGGTAAATGTGTCGTTACATCAGAACAAGTTGTGTCAGCAACACTCTCCCTACTCCCTGATTCAGTCCTGAAAGACCAACCTTCGATTAAGCGAAAAAAGATAGAATCATCGTTCAGCAGGGTTTTTTGTTGTCAAAATTAATGCACATGGGGCGCGTATGACGCAGTGGTCGAAGGCGCCCAGCAATACACATGGGATCGATTGCCGCGAACTGGTAGGACAAATTATAGCGATAAAATATGTGCTACTGCACGATGCAATACGTTACCGCATTGTGAAGGCGGCGAATGCCCAACCCTTCTGCGGGTTTGAATATCTTGGGATACAAGAGCTACTTGTTCGTGCACCACTGACTTATCGCTGGTGTTTAAAGACGACGCAAACTCTCTACATTCAAGGTTTGAGCAGCTGTTTTCTTCTCGTTTTTTCTCAGCTTTTCGTGTAAAGAACAAATTTTGAGTGTTTCACCTACGTTTCCAACCATGTTGAATCGTTCGAAAAATCTCGGTGGTTGCTTCTTCATTTCATGAATCCGAGAGACTTCTAGCTTGTCATTAAGTTAGTTAGGCCATTCCGCCGAGCTCGAAAACTGTATAGTGTTCGTGTTCAGTTTAGTGGGTTCCAGAGTTGTTTCGTCGCCCCATCTATGCTTATTCACTAGAAAATCAATATCAGATCTAATGGGAAGGGTCAAGAATGGGCAAAGCTCTCATTCTTTACCATTCCCTATGAGATGCTCTGTGCATCCGACTTCATTAAGCATCGTTGGAAGTGACTGTATGAATACCTGACCTTTTATTGACTCGCGGTGTCTTACCGATGTATTGAGTCAGAGCTGGTATCCAGCCAGTCAAGTATGGTGTAAGTTTGCCGAGCCCTGAAGGATGAAAACTTTGGTGTGCCTTGGGCTCGATGATCGATCCTATGTGTATTGCAGGGCGTCTTCGACCACAGCGCTACACGCGCCCCTTATGAGAGTGGTAAGACCAGAAAAACATTCTCGGCACTTAAATACTTGCAAAGAAAGCTCTTCTCGAAGAAGCCTGCTGACTGGTATATTCACTAACAATTAGCTGTTATTTCGTTTTATTTACTGCGGTTACTGTATGGAATGTGCTCAGTTAGGGAAAAGAAACGAAGATGGACACAAAATGAAGTGCAAAATACAAACGCCGACAGCATGGCTTTTGAAATATGGACTATAGGAGCACATAGTAGATAGTAGCGTACATTCTCTTTCACAAATCTGTCATGTTCTGCTCATGTCCTATATTTGTTGGGAAAAGATTTTTCTTGTCGAAGCAGTAAGAACTCCATGGCCGACGCAAAATTGCCGGCATTCGTTTGAGCCCGCCAAGAGAAAGTGGGCAGAGTGGGTCGATCTTAATAAACGTGGTTAAAATCGGCACATTTTTTCAACAAGTTGAGTGTATAGCAGTTGTATGTGCCGTTTTTGCTGGTCTTACGGGTTTCAAAAGAAATTTCCGGTTTTTTGATTGAAGTATTCTAGCGCAAGAGGAAGGTGATTCTCAACAGAACTTTGTTAGCCTAGCTGTGGGCTGGAAGTAATCTATGAAGGATAATTTCCTCCATTATCCTATTGATCGTCTAGGCTTCATCGGGTATTATCATATGCAATAAGATATTCTCCGTAAAGGACTTTTAAGAAACGCTGGACAACGGTATTCTCGAAGATCCTTCCTGAACAGGATGGCTGTGCGCGTGGTGCATTCCTATCATAGGCATATTGTCATGTGACTTTTAGAAAAAGGAACTGGTACTGGTGCTCGAGCGTCTTGTATCTGTGCCTCTGTCCGTTCTCCTGATCAGAACACAAACTTCGGAGAAGAGAGTGTGGTGTGCGATGCTTTCTACAGAGATCTTAGGCTCTGGAAGGGTGTTATCGAGATTCGGTTGTGCATCGAACTGCATCTTATCATCCACCACGCATCATTCCATTGTGTTCCCGCTAACAAATAATGAAACGTTTTTCGTTACTCGTTTCTTTTACGTTCGCTACCAACGGAAAGTGTTAAACCCGAGAAACTTGCCAAAGTTGTAGCTGCTGCATTGGTGAATGTCGCAAAGCAGCAGGTAGGTCTTTCTTTCTGGTGCCGATATGATGGTATGCAAGGGTAACTTTCTTAGTTCAATGTTAAAAATTGAATTAACTGTGGATATCATGTTTCTTCATGTATTCTTCCAGTGCTTTTTTTAGATAGTCATTCAATTCGCCTACGAGAGCCTGGTGCTCAAATTTGTAAGCGGGGATATCGCTCTGTTCTTCTCATTATTGTCAAATGTTTTCCCTTCAGTGCAGATGAAATGGTAGAGTGAGTAGTTTTTGTTGTTTTTGTTGTTCTCACTTTAATACTGGCTGATAATTTCTAATCAATATCGACCTTCTTTCTTTGTGTGAATTCCCGTTTTCTAGGCTACGACAACACATTGCTCAGGTGTGTGACTAACTTTATCACGCGGCCGTAAGCGGTGAATTAGAAGCAGCAGGCTTGGGAAAGTTCTTCAAATTTTCCAGATCACCAATTCAAACTATGGTCTAGTGATTGTTGGTGCATGTGGCAGTGGAAAAACTACATGTTAGAAAGTTTTGAAGAAGGCACTTGAACGCCATGAAAAGGTGGAAGATGTTGCACATATCACCGATGGAAAAGCGATGAGTGAGGATGCGCTGCGTGGAGATTTGGATCTAAACACAAGGCAATGGTCTGGATTGTTCTCTTCCATTATCGGAAGGTAAGTGGCTTTAGTCTTTCTTCTTATTGGCATTTGTCTACATTACTATTCAAAAGTCGTGCTGGCTTACAGACGTTCGTAACTTAAATTTTAAAAAGAAGTTTTCTGTTTGTCTGGCAAAATAGTACCGTTTGTGGCGACTAATAATGTAGATAATACCACTGCAACTTTAGTTTTTATAACACTTTAGTTGCTATCAGTCTTTCTTTCTACCTTGTTCATCGTTGTGCAGACTTAGCTCAGATAGTTTTTTATGTTTTTAATATGGGTAAGTTCAGAAGGAAGGGCGCGTTTGGCGCAGTGGTTGGAGACGCCACTGCGACACACACGTGGAATCGATACGCGCGCCCATGGCCCACCGAGCCTTCCATTCCTCAGGGGTCGGCAAATTGGTGCCAGTCATGTCTGGGAGTATAGCAGCACTGGCTCGATTCATCGACAACCCACTGTGAGTCAATGAGAAAGGCAGATATGCATTCAATCACCTATAACGATGCTTAATGAACTCGAATACATGGCGCATCCCTCAGGGATTGATCAACATCGAGAGCTTTATCCTTTATTTAACGTCTTTAAGTTCAGAATAGTTGGTAATGTTCGCGGTGAAATTGAGAAAAGCCAGAGGATTATCTTCGACGGTGATGTTGGTACGGAATGGGTAGAGGATTTGAACTTAGTAGCTGATGATAATAAACTGCTTATGTTGCCTAATGGAGAACGTCTCCTTATTACACCTAAGGTCCGTCTTCGCATTTGAGTCTTTTATTAGCGGTATTACTTTTACTTTGAAACAGTTTACTTTGATGCACTCACAATATAGGTACGGATCATTTCCGAAGTTGCTGATCTGAAGAACGTCTCTCTTGGCACATTTTCCGGTGTGGATTAGTTCAGTGGAGAGGTAGGCAACGACTGGGGCTAGTACTGTGTCCTTTTTCTTGAATGAAGTGTCAACAGGTTGTAACAACGGATGAGTTAATTGGTGAAGATGTCGCTCCAGGAAGATCTGCACTCAAACAAAGGCAAGCTGCTGCTGCTCTTCAGCCGAGCTTTTGTCCAGATCGAAGTTTTTCTTACTTTATTTGTTGCTTGTTAGTCTCACGTAGCACTGGAAGATAGTTTATCTCATTTTAGATATTCTTGTGCCACTGTCATTTCACTTTCGCTCTTCTGATCTTGATCATATCATGGTTCCTACTCAACAGCGTCTACTATCGTCATTTTTCTTTTGCAATGATGAACTACTCTGTTCGTAACATCGTTAATTGCGACGCTATTCATGGTTATTTTCCATTATCGGTGAGTATTTGAACCTTTTTCAAGGTTAATTCTCGATGCGATCGGTTTATTAAGAAGAGCATTACAACGGGAATGGTGCCACTCGTTTAAAGACTTAGTTACACGCAGATCAGGTTTGGGCGTTCAGTAGTTATAGCAACTATCGCCAGAATAGTTACTATTTCTTTCTATTACTGTATGTTTCTGTAGTAATGATCATATCCATTGTTTGTCAAGTTGCCTGGCAAATCTCGCAGTACGAAAATATTTTCACCCAATCCTAAGGAACTCTGATCGCTATAAAAAGTCTTCTAAGCGGAGTCGGAGCTTGTTGTTTGTTATTACTGTCCAAGTGTCATCCTGCTTACAATAACACGAAAGGCGCGTGAATGTTTACGAGAGTCGTCTTCTGCCAGCTGATCTCTGGTTTTAAAGGGATGTGGAAACCGTAGCCGACGAAGTTTTCGGTAAAGCTGCTGGAGTTGTTCCAAATATCGCTTTCTCAACGAGCAAATGAATAGCCTCGTGGATTACCATCCGAGTTCGTCGCCTATTTAGGTCGGTTCCTTATTGATCTCGTATGTCACCTATGTAGATTATCGTAGTTGTTTCACTGATCTCGCGTTTGTCACCTATGTAGATTATCGTGGTTGTTAGTTCATATTACACGTGGTCATTATTGTCATTATTGCATATTAACTTCACTCTACCGTTAGTGCATCACAGCTCCGAGTTCTACTCTAACTTCATTGTTTCATTATTATATGACAGTTGCGAATTTCGCATTAACTTCGCATTATCATTACTACATCACGCTTCCCATCAGGCCTGTGCGTCTTCTTCATCATCCTCATCATCGTATCAGTGTTCATTGTTTGTTAATTGATCTGCGGTACGTTGTCAGTAGCGGCGGCTATCCTCAAATCCGTTCTGTCTGCAACGCCATCGGTGCATGTACCATTCCTCCTACAATGTACGCTATGCGTATACGGCCGGTGACCGGCCAGTTTATGCTATGTAACTGTTATGTCGCTATAATCGGCTGATCAGTTCTCAGCCGTTCTATTTATGGCCCAAGTTATCTCTTAGGCAATGGTGGCACCCATCGATGCTCAAACTTCGCGCTGCAGACATATCGTTGTCCAAGACTAGCCGCCTGACCATGTTCCTCAGATGTCTCATCTAGTTCGTAGTCACTTCCACCATCGATGCTTAGGTAACTTGTTATCCTTATCGATCATTGTCATAGTGCACCTAACCGCCGTACATGTGATCTATAGCTTAGCCTATTATACGGCTCATCTGCATCTCACTCTGTTCTTCTGGCTCTCGGCATCTTGGCCAATGCACACGCCAGTGTGGGTGCCATCGTCAGCACTCCCTAATCGTCATTGTTCTCAAGTTTTTATTATCATTATATTAGTGTTATAATAGTATTATAACTTGTTATAGCCTTATTAGCTTTATTTCACTAGTAGTTGTGGTCCCTCATAATCAGGGACTTGCCTTGCTCTTATTTCAGTACTTTTCTGTCATTATTCCTTTTGTATTGGTGTTGCATTTATGTATATAAAAAGTTTAGTTTCCCAAGTTTGAGTTATTGCTCTGTGACGATTACGGAAATTCCCGCGTGGAGTCTTCCTACGAAATCGAGCGCTCTGCTTAAAGCTAATGGTTATTCAGTGCCGAGAACTGAAAAGAAGGCCTATTTTCAACTAACAACTGCAATTGTAATAATGGTAGACGGAATTGTCGCCAACGTTTGAGCGATTCTATTCGTAGTTGCACAATTCTTTCATCGCCTACAAGCCAGCAGTTAGGTGAACATACAGATTGTTTCACTATTACTCTGAGTTATGTCCTTGTTTGGTAGGTAGTTGTAACACATACCGTCCAATGTCTAGTTGTCTTTTCTTTTATACTTCCATAACACGGTTCGAAGTTTTCAGGATCATAGTTTTTTAGCCCTAATTGGAGCCGGTAGATTTGCAAACATTTTTATAACAAAGTCACGTAGCTATCTATTAAAGAATAAGCATGTTATTCGTTCAGGCTCCATTGATGGACTTCCAGGTAAAACTCAATGGCGAGTGACAACCGTCGTTGAGCGGCGTGCCAGTTATGGAACTTGGATGTATGTTTCACGCTTTTCGCATGCATTTTCCTGCAATTTAAAATTTATCTTGCAGAAACGATTCTGCTTGCAGCTTATCATGTCGATGCACTCGACTTAATTGTGGCCGACTATCGATACTTTTCGCCATGAAATTCTGCTGTCTGCTTGGCTATCGGAGCATAAACGTCTCGTTTTGTGTGGGCTCCGAGGTTCCTCGAAGGTCATTTTTGAGTGGAGTTTTCTGCATTCTTTCAAATCTTTATATCATATGTCATTTTTGTAGACATTGTTTGCCGCATTGCATTCCTAAGGAGTGGTGAATGTGGTGAATGTAAATTCCTCGTCATCGCCAACACCTGAGCTGTTGATGGAAGTCACTGTCGTAAATATCGACGTATGCCAAATAGTAATGTGTTGGCTCCAGTTCAACTTAGTCGATGGTTGATCATTTTTTGTTATGGGACGAACTTGTCCGCTCAGGAAAAATGCTGCACGCCACGTGTGATTTGCTTCCTTCGGCAACTTTTGGAAATGATGCGCTCCATCCTAGCTTCATGTTATTTTAGAATATTGTAGAACAATATGAATATTTATTGTACGTCTTCTGTGGAATGCCTTTTACCGCCATTCAGATTTATCTGTGACATTAGAACGAATTCAATCTGTCGATGCTTGGATTCCTCGTGTTGACACTGTTCGTCACCCCGTGATTATGCGTTTTTTGCTTCATGTTCCAGTCGTTTCCTTTGACTGTCCGGGACAGACGTCGTTTGTACAGATTAACGGGACATTTAACAGATGGAGGTCGACATTCCGCCTAGAGATGTTTCAAACTGCTTTGCGGGACAACACCCTTTCATTTTTTATGTTTTGAAATAGCTGATATCTAGTTTTTTTCAGGGGTCGACAAACCCCGAGAAGATGGTTTTCAGTGGAGTTTTTATGCTTATAAATTTCCATATCATATGTTATTTTTGTGTGGCTCAGTGGTCAGAGGTGCCCTGCAATGCACATGGGATCGACTGCCGCCTCCCTAGCCCACCATGCCCTCCATCCCTCCGCGGTCGTCAAGTTGGCAGCAGGCTTGTCTGGGAGGATAGCAGCACTGACTCGATATATCGGTAAACCACTGCGAACTATTGTAAAGTGTAGATATGCATTCACCCACCTCCAAACGATGCATAATGAATTCGAATGCATGACGCATCCCCAAGGGATTGAGCAGCGCCGAGAGCTTTAGTTTTTTATGCCATCTTTGTAAACGATGACATTGCTAGCCTCATTGGCTTCCCGACAAGATATGCATGTGGTGTATGTAAATTTCTCGTCATCGACAACACCCAAACTTTTGATGAGAACATTAAATCACTATTTTGAATAGTGACGTTTTCCAAATGGGTCTGTGTTGGCTCCAATTCAACCTATTCGATAGTTGCTCATTACTTGTGATGAGGTCAACTTGCCCGCGCGAGACAAATGCAGCACGCATCGTGTGGTTTTCTTCCTTCGACAACTTGTGGAAATGGTGCTCTCCATCCTAGCTTCGTGTTATTTCAGAACATTGTAGAACAATATGAATATTTCTTGTACGTCTGTTGTGGAATGCCTTTTACCGCCATTCCGATCATTTATCTGTGACATTAGAATGAATTCAATCTGTCGATGTTTTGAATCCTCGTGTTAACCCTGTTCGTCACCCCATGATTATGCGTTTTCTGCGTCATGTTCCAGTCGTTTCCTTCGACTGTCTGGGACAAACGTCGTTTGTACAGATTAACGGGACATTTAACAGATGGAGGTCGATATTCCGTCTAGAGATGTTTCAAACTGCTTTGCGGGATAACACCCTTTCATTTTCTATGTTTTGAAATAGCTGATATCTAGTCTTTTTTTGTGCTGTGCTTAGAACTTCAGCAGTTCGTCGGCCTGTTGATCCACTCACTAGTGCTGTGGTCTACGTCTACCTGGGCACTCAAGTAGTGATAAAACTTTTGATGTGCAGTAGTATGCCACGTTCTCTTGGATTAAATCGGTTCGATTTAGAAACACTTCACTTAAGATGACCATCCCGACTACGTATATGCACCTGGTGGATGAACACGTTGGGTTCGTGGAATATCCGAAGCGATTGTCTCCATCGATGAAGTCACCCCTAAACAGCTGGTCCGTTTATACGCTCGCGAAATAGTGGAGCTATTCCGAGATCGACTGGGAGGGATGTCGATAGTAACTAAGCGGACGACATTGTTGATCCTAATGTTGGAAATTCGCTTTATTTATTTTCATAGATTGCTAAATTCTAACTAAGGACGTGATTTTCAGATTGAGTTTACACCTCTGTGCTCTCGCTTAACATTTGTCAGCTTCACGGTAACTTCATCAAGTCTTGCAAGCCAGTGTGCTTCGAAGCGAAAGGCCGAATGTTAACAAAAAACGAAATTATTTGTTGAAGCTACAGGTTTGGTTTCTCTACGAATTTAGCAAATTTGATAGGAAAAAGGCATTGCTGGTAACGTGCGTTCCACGTGCCGAAGCTTTGAAAAGCATCTTAACGCTTCCCGATACTCAGTGGTAAACATCCAGCTGTGTGAGGAGTATATATATGCATTCATTTCATGGGCGATTGTCTGCGTTCACCTTGAAATTTTCGGGTCTCTTTGTGATCATTTCAAGTTGCTTAGGAGTCTAAAATTTATCTATTCAATCGTTTTCACTTTCTAACTGAATAACTCGGTTTGATTTTCATGTTCTTCTTCCTAAATTTTCATTCATCAACAACATCGTAACCTTTACTTCAAAATTTTCTCCGTTATGTCTCTGCGTCCTATGCGTGCCTAGTGGAGTATTTGACATTATGCTGGAGCACGCACGGCTGGTGAGGACTGGCCGTCCAAGCACTCAAAAGTCCAAGGTTGTTGTAGATGATTGCAGAAGATAACAGAATCGTTGTTCTCAATCCTACTCCTCTGCCCTGTGAATCGAAGTATTGACTGAATTCACATTTGGCCTGCGCAATGGTTACAAGCGCTCATAAACGTTGAGGTGGGTTCGTTAACGTTCGGAGCGCGCAAAAAAGAACCGACAACATTGTGTTCTGCATTGCTCAGCATCTAATGTGTTGGACAACTTTGAGGAACTCGGAATCCAACCGTTTTCCTGGAAGCGGTAGTGTCACATACAATTTTCTCGTTGCAGGTGAACAGATCTGTCACGTAGCTGAGAGTTATGCGTTGTCCACTAGAGCTAGAGTCATTTTGTTTGCTGGTTATTGATGCTTGAAAAGAATTTCGCTGCTTTTTTTTTCAAGGTAGGTTATTATGCAAAAAACTTAGCCTTGTAATAGTAGCTCTCTTAGTCGTCTGCATGCTTTGAATTGAACAGAGCTTAGTTTGTCAACGTTCCGCTCTTTTATTCTCCTCTGTCGCTTTCCTTCTTGCTCTTTTTCGCGCTTCCTTCCTTTACCTTTTATCTACGACACACTATTTATCACAGTTCCTCACTCTCTCTCTCTCCTTCTGGTTTTACACCTCACAAATTACAGTTGTTTTGAATTCCATAATATTGGCGAAGGTCACTGCTTGGAATGACATGCACTGAACAATATAAGAATTGGCTTAGAAAATATTATGCACGAAGAAAAGAAGTGCCATACTCCTCGTCAGTGTATCGTCACTCTTTTTCTTCCGTCTGATTCCTTGAACATGCTGTTCTGTAGGTTCATTGAACGTGTACAGTATGCGTACAGAGGGATCTTTTTATCAAAGAGCCAATGATTTCGAGCTGTTGACCTTCGCAACATTGGTCTTCGTCATATCTGTGCGCATTTCCAATGCTTTTTTTCCTGTTCACTGAGCATTGTCTCCTCCTCACTGGCACTCCTCGAAAACAGGAAGATGTCATCTGCAAAAAGAAGATTTGATAGGAATTCTCCATTAACACTGACGCCATTCTCGTTACAATCGAATTACTTCATAATCCACTGCGTTGCGGAAGTGCACAGCTTTGGCGCATTAGTGCCACCTTGTCGGGTCCCTTTCTTCACGTTTACGGTGAGAATTCCATGAAAAAGTTGTCTATTTGTGCTGCAGCTTCAATAACAGTCAGCTAATGTTCGTATCCTACGGATCTCCCTCACATGAGTGATCCCGTTAGCCTGTTAATCGCTAGGCTACGTGGCGCTGCCCCAGGTGGCAGATAGGGGGTTAATCGCGGTCCAAAGCGACCTTTGCTTCTCTGAAGCGCAGAAGGATCTAGGGGATGGTTGTGTATTTCTCATGAGAAGTAGAATAATGCGACATGAAGTCAAATACCCTAACCTGTGTGACGTCTTCGCCAAAAACCAGATCAAACGTGAACGACTTTGGTTTGCATGGATCCAGACTGAAGCAATAATAGGATAGTGGTAATCAAGAAATAATATGTGAAGTAGCTAAGTCACGAGAATTTCTTCATCAAAAACAGTGACGATGCGTTCTCGTGTGGTCGAATCCGGACGCGCTCGTGCCGTCACTCGTGTGAATTCGGCGTCAGTCATGAACAAGGCTGAATTTAGATTTTGTAGGCCAAATATTCCTCACTCCTGGTTCGTTTCAGTTTTTATTCATTTTTTCCACGTACTCTCTTTGATAAACTGCCACAAGGTTGTTAACTTGTATGTTTAAGGTTCATTGGCTTACAAGTTTACATTTCAGCCACTTTGCTTCCTGAAGAATTTGGATTTATTCTTGACTTTATCTATATTATTAGATTAGTAATCTATAGTCCCTACTAACGGTTTACCGCTTCATCGTGTCTGAGAGGTGTCCCTGGCTGCTGTGCTGCGGCTGGATACATCCCTCCGACAAGCTGAGAAGGAGTCCAGCGTTTCCATTAGCAAGCCTAGCTAAGAGCAAACCAATACCACGATTCACCACTGTCCTAGTATTAAAGTCGCATGGTGGCAAATCTCCCTCTGAGCCACAACGGCTGCGACTGCCTGTGGTGGTGAAGACCTGGGGCGGACTTTGGTCTGGTTGACATCGGGGCTCCAGGGAGCCGCAATGGCTTAGCCAGTAAAACTTTGAAAAATGGGGATTGTGATGGGTCCCGCACAATCGGGCCGTCCTAGTAAGTAGGTCGTCTATAGTCTTAAATACAATATATATACAGTATGGGAACAGTGTTCCTGTCGATTAAAGAGTTCTCAAGAGTTTCGTTTTATAAAGAGTGACGCAATCCGTGTGTTGTTGGCGAAGTGTGGCAAATGGCTCTCACTCAGTTGGGAACATAAGTCTGAGATGAGACGGTAAACCACGTGTCATAGTGGGCCACTGGTACTTCGTATTCATTTTCGAACTTTTGAAATTTATTCGAAACGCTGCAAATGTTTGGAGCGCTAACGTTTTCGATCATGGCCCCAGCTACGACATGAATATCAGCGGCGTCTTCTTCGTTTCCTCTTACATCATCCCTGTCAATACATAAAAACATTCCTTTCTTCGACGTGACTGACAGGTCGGAAATGCGGTATACCCGAAAGGTTTTGATGTGTCAGTAAGGATCCTTGCGCCGAGGTCGAAAACGTCAATGCGCAAAGCTTTTGAAGCGTTTCGGATAAAACTGCAAGTTTTGGGAATTGAACATGAAAAGTAGATGTCAACGATATCTTTCCGTACCTTCATTGTTAAGGCCGAGGTTAATCTTAAGCTTTGTCAGACTATGGAACTAGTTTGCCTTTAAATTTGTGACGTTTAGGTAAAAAAAGTGAAGTCCAAGATGGCGACCATCTACCGATGGAGAAAGATGCAATTGATGGTGAATAGAGAATAAATCTTGGTAAAGAAAACCAAAGGCAGAAAGTAGCGTAGAAGATGAAACCCCAACCGATCGCGGTGCAGCAGTGGAAGGCGAACAAGTCCATGGTCACTTTGTACTTGATTTGGCACTTTTTTCATTGCATTTTTGTTAATTCTACTGCTTGAAAGTGTTTGATTATCACCTTTCTCATAAGCGCTTGAAGGTCATTATTTAGCGGGAAGAAATGTTGTTAGCTTAGCTGAGTAGCAATGAGATCTGAGGAAGCTCAACCAATATGCCTCATCAGTCATGTGCTAGAAGAAAGCTGGTCCAAACTTTTCCTGTTTCTTTTTTTCATTGGTCAGTGTCTCGATCTTCCGCTTAATTTAGTTCGCTGATGATGCCCACTTTTTTTTCTTCCAAAACCGTGCTGGCTACATTATACTATCGAAGAGGTCCCATACCACAGCATTACTATCCAACTGACGACGAGAGTAGTGATGAAGAAGAATTTGGAAGAAGCACTTGTATTCAGATAGAGTAGTTTTTAAAAAAATTCTTCGAGAAAAGTACCGTTTTGTAAAGCATTATCTTCATTGCATTTTGCGCATTAGTGTTAACATAGTGGCACTTCGAAGTGCTGTGGCCGTTAGCGGATTGCTAAAATTCTTTTCTACGGATGGTCGAAGCCGAACCTGCACCGTTTCCCGGGCTCCCTCAACAGTGTAAGCAGTGCCTATAACGGGATAGCTAACATGATGTACGCCATCGATGGCGGGGCTTCGTGTACAGAAACAGGATCACATAAAAAGTTTTGTCAGGTACGTCATTCAGCTTGCATCATCGCTTGTTAGTTGTCCTCCTCCAACTTACTATTCCTCAAGTTGGTTCAAAATTTCTTTGCATGTCTTTGATGTTACGTTAGCCGTTAAACGTCTTTGTGAAACTGATAGGTAGATATCGATTAAGTGATGCCAAACGCTCTTCACTGGTGGATTCCACCTTCTCGAGTTTTTCCTTCATTATTTTTAAGGAGGCACTGTTCTGTGCATAGAAGTGTAAACGCTTCTTATTGTACTTTTCGCTCGCCTTTTCAAAGAAGCTTAGACTAACACAGTAGGAACACTGTCTTCTGTTTATTTCTTTCTTGGATCATTCTCTCGCCTTGGTTTTTCAAAATATTTTCTCAAAAGTGGATGTTGGAATTCGTGGAAGTTAACAAGTGTCGTGATATTTTATCAAATGCGCCAGTGTCACCGTCGTGAAGGGGAAGTGTGTAATGGACGCTAGAGATTCTGAAATTGAAGCTAAGCGTTCACAACTGCCCAAATATTCTGAGGAGAATCCGCTTATGGAACTTGATGGAAACATGGTAAGTGGATTGTTTTTGTTCCTATTTGAATGTATTGTGAGCATGGCGGGCACGATTTTATGGCCTTAGGTGCTTCTTTAGGATTGGTCATCTCCTATTTTTCCTGGTTAAGAACCAGTTTTTAAGTTTCTTCATAACTTCTACAGGTGTTGACCGTTCAAGTTTATATTTCTGTAACGATTATTTGTGGCGTAACGGGATTGAGAAGGCTACTCAAATCCATCAGTTTCCTTACGAAGCAGGGTGTGTATTGCTTCAAATCGATTTCATATTTCAAATTTTTTCGCCTGTAAGTGTTCTTTTCAATGCCTAGGTTTCGTCTTAAAAGTTGTTAAATCCTTCCTAATTTAACGTTTCGATGTTACTTCATCTTTCTTTTTTTCTGATGAATTTCTTTCTGCTAATTTAATGTTGGGTATTTCAGTAATGGAAGCGAGGATCAGCTGTTTGGGATCGCTGAGCTGTGGCGAGTTCTATATCTGAACGTGTTGGAGAGACTTAGGTACGCCTGATGAAGTCTCGAGTCGACTATGAATCTGTAGTGTAAATCTCATGCTTACGTTTGCACGTTCCTCGTAAACCAAGTGCACATGTATTACGTATCGCGGTTCTGCATTGTGTAGCAGCGGAGTGAAACACCTTTGTTTCGGAATTTTATATAATCATAGTTTTTTAATAATACCAAATAATCGAATGATAATAGAAAAAGTAAGTAGTGGTTGAAAAACAGATTTTTTGCAGCTGTAGAGAAAAACGATTAACTTAATATTGGGATGTTAAAATAACTTTCAAGTGCTTTGATCGAAAAAAGAAAACTCGGCAGGCCACTCCAGTTAACTGGGATAGGTCATATAAGCACATAATACCGATGTTCTAATTATTTATTTGGATACTTCGACAATCCATCTTCACTTTGTGCGGGCCATAGCATAACCTCCACTGTTCGAAGTTTTGCTGGTTTAGCTATTGTTTCCTTGGAGCCCCGAGGTCAGGCGTCAGCCTAGCCAAAGTCTGCCCCAGGTCGTTTCCACGAGAGGCAGCCGCACCTCTTGTGAACCAGAGGAAGATTTTCCACTAAGCGACTAGTTTGATTCCAGGACGGTGGTCGATCTTCGCATTGCTTGAATCTTAGCTAGGCTTCCTGATGGAAAAGCAGTGCTCCTTAGTTCTCAGCTCTGGATACCTGGCCGAGGGGACGAATCCTCGCGCTTTATAACGCAACCCGACACTCAGGAATACCTCCCAGCCACGTCGAGGCGGTAAACGTTTGAGAAGGATGACTTAATAATGTGAACGAAAACATGGGGCTCCAATCTTTTTCAACCCAATAGGAAAAGTGTTCTCTATTGTAAAACACGCCCTCTTCAAACACGTTGTTGTTGGGTCAATCGGATAAAGGGCAGCACTTTGATTGGAAAACGAGTGCGCCACCGAGTTAGCGAAGGTGGCCATCGTTCACCAAGATTGCAGAATGAGCCAAGAAAAGACCTTGCAGGAGTAGCTAACGTTTCCATGGACCCTTCTACGCGGTGCAGAATAGCATATGCATGAACAAAAACTATTTACGGTTTATTTTCTGTACAAAGAAGGAAATTTAGGCACTGAATACTCACCTCCGAAATATCCGAAATACGTTAGATTTCTCTCACCATCTACACACAATCAAAAAGTCCATTCTTTGAAAACCATTTCAAAAAACGCCAAATATTGTTGATGCGATCCTTGCAATGGTTGTAAGTTCTCCACAAAACACTCCATGGAATAACCGAATGTGATTTTCCAAAAGTCACCTGAAATAGTCGAATTAAGGAGCTGAGTCGAACTGCGAGATGCCAAAGAGACCCCCACAGAAAACAAGTCATGCAAAAGAACGATTTTGTGGAACTGTTATTTTGGCTGTGTGAAACCATACTGTTGATAGATTTTCGTTCGTTTCCCTCCAACTTACTGTTGACATGGTGCAAATTTCTTATAAACGGTGCCTACTGATAATTGCTTGACGGCCGGAAATCTTCGCTTCGGGTGTGTTTTAGTGAGTAAAGGCGAAATCACTTAAATGGTGTTCACAACACTGTTGACAGATGGTACTACAGCTATTTTACTACCCTCTTCAGAAATTGTGAAATTTCCGTGTGTGCTTTTCTTGTTCACCAAAACAATGATTTGCTGGAAAAAAAAGAGAAAGAGAAATGACAAGAAATCTTATGGGCAGCCAAACCTATCACATAATTACTTTTACTTTGATTACTGTTCTTCCTAGGAAAAAATGCCTACTTTTTCAGGAAGTCGAGGTTCAATCTATTAACGTCTACTATAATTAATGTCAAACCAGTTTGAAGAACCACCGCGAGAAACGTATTCCAGCCAAATACGAGACCGCTGTTGATGGAACGAAGTTCGGTGACAATATTGTAGCTGAAAATCAGGATAACAATTAGCGAAGCTTCAGTACAACAGTCATAGAGCATTTTCGAAAGACTACCATCATCAACATAGAGAAAATGTTCTCACATTTACATTACTGGCCGTCATAATAATAATAGCAATAAATGATGCCAACATGCTTACTTGAATCTGTTTCTTATTCACATTAGTTGCTCGCCTTCCATACAATTAACACTCTACTGGAAGGAGACATTAAGTGCAATTCAGAGGAGGGGATTCGTCGTATACGAAGGATCACCAAATATGAAGAGTTAGATACGGCTATTCGAAATCGACGCGAGCGTTCACCCGTTCAAGAGATTCTGGCTTCCTATCAGTAGCACCATATCAGGGTTCATCGGTTCCAAAAGATTCTGGCCTCCTATAGGCAGCAATCTAGTCGCCAGCGGGCAAATCAACTTTCCACACACTAAGACCGACGAATGACTGCAATAACCATTTCAAAAGACCATGGTTAGGCTACCTCGCTACTTAAGGAAATATAATCTGTAACAAACAGATGCACTCCTACTGCCGCTCTTTGTACTATTTCATCCGGTAAAATATTTACGACATGCCAATGACAGCGTTTCTTGTTGTGAACTCATATCACAAGAACAGTATCCATAACTGACGCCAACGTTCACTTGCTTTCTAATAGGAGGCAACATTAAATAAGCGTAATCGACCTACACGAAACCAAAATGGAGACTAACAGATGTTAATTTGATCACCGAACCTATTCTATCAATGGTGGCAAGGCATCGTCACAAAATGTCGGTGGAGTAGGTGTTTTGTGCACTTGTTAAGGGTAAATTTTGCCAATTCACAAAAAAGGAAACTTCCATCACGCATGGACATAATGCGCCCTCAACTTGCATTCTAAGTGAAAACACTTTCTCAAACTTTTACCAATCTGTAGCTGATGAGTACGAAGCAGAGATGCTCAACTGAATGAGGTAGCTATCAGCATAGAAAAGTCTAAAGAATTCAATGGTTAAAGCCATAATGATGGTGAGATGTTTGCAAAACTCCGAAGGGGTGATCCCTGCGGCGGGGATCGACCACGGTATTAACATTTCCCGTTCATCACCACATCATGCGAGTCCTTCGTTTCGCCATTCTGGTCGATGCTTATAGTTTAAAGCCAAACTGGGAAGCTAGAAGAAGGATATACCCTCTCTGGCTGGGAATGGATCCATTGAATGTCTGTTCCACAAAATTACAGTTTTTTGCTAAGCATGCAAGCTGCCCCAGAATACGCAATTCCACAACAGCACAAAACTGTATGAGATTAAGAGCATCTGCACAATTAAATTATAATATTTATCATGTTTAGCTGAGGCTTTTGCTGGTTGTTCTTTGATACGGCTGAACACTGCCCTTCAAAATCTCGATTGAGCTATAGGCAAACCATAAAAAAAATCTTGTAATCAAATCAGAAGAGAAAGACAAATGATGCATGAGAACGCCTTCAGCTAAGATCTTCAACACAAGACTCAGATGGCTATCAAAACATTCCAAAAGTGCGCTGTTACTCCTCAGTATTCGAAATGAGAAGTTCTAATCGTATTTCGACTGCTATAAAGGAGACTTTCGAAAAGAGAAGAAGAGAAAAAGAGAAGTTTGGGTTTGATGTGATCTTAACACAGTGGACATAAGTGCCAACTAATGAAGTCGCTGCAGCACGACTGATAACCCTGCACGGAAAAGATGTAAGAAGAAGGTCGAAAAAGAATAACAAAATTAACGTTCGGACGTCTGCGAATACAATACGACATCAGCACTGCCAAACGAATAGAATATTTCAACCCTCTGCATAACCTGAGAATCATGAACGACACGCATCAGGTAGAAATAGCTTGTTGGCGGAAACGGTCGAAGAGATCTACAATTATTACTACTTACTGAGACGGTTTAATAAACTCCTTAAGAAAATTATAGTACCGTGTACATCAGTAACATAAAATCAAGGTCCAACAGCTAATGCGATCAATACACTAGTCCTAAATAACATCTTATCAGAACCAGAACTTGCCCCTCGTCGTAACCTATGCCGATTCCGAAATGGATGCATAGTGATTGCAAATAGAACAAAATAAAACAATATTTAGTATCCAGATAGTCAATACTGCCATTATCAACATTAGGATCTGGCAAGGGAAAATAGCTGTCGCTGATTGTGTTCAAGGTTCGAGCGTTGCCACACAGAATCCACGTCGGGCATCCGATGTAGTAAAACGTTTCAGTATATATTACTTACTTATTTACTTGATACTTGAATGGCTCGCCTTCGCTGGTTGTGGGGGCCCCAGCGTAACCTTCATTTTTTGGAGATTTGCTGGTTAAGAAATTTTGGTTCCAGAGAATCCCGAGGTCAGTCTGGCCAAAGTCCGCACCAGTCCTTCACCAGGACAGGCAGTCGCAGCCATTCTGGATCAGAGGGAGATTTGCCACCATGTGGCTTTGATAACAAAACGGTGGTGGATCGTCGTATTGGTTTGCTCTTAGCTACGCTTTCTAATGAAAACACCGGACTTCTTCTTGGCCTGGGAGACCCTGCCAGGAGATGAATCCCCCCCGTACTTCGCAGTCCGATACCCACGAACACCTCCTGGCCACCGATAAGGTGGTGAATCGTTGAGAGGTATACAAAACGTGTTATATAAAATAACTCCTAACGTTAGGATAACACAGATAGCTCGATGAATTACGCAAATGAGTAGGATTATCCAAGTATTTTACTGAGATTCTATTTTCACTTCGATATAGCACTGGACCAACAGAAGTGTGCCAATTCATACCAAATTTTTAAACGAATATTGTGATGGGTGCATATTAGACCTCTGGATGGAAGAAGTGCGAAAGAGTGGAAGAATGAGTGGTTTTCCAATGTATCTTTTGCAATGGAAGCAACGATTATGAAGTATTTCTCTTATAGTAGTTCTCCCTTTCTGCATCCGTACGCGTCGCCGCAATACTGTAAAGGGATGATGGGCTCCACTGTAGTTATTATTTTAATGAATTTAAGGATGAAAAGCCTGGTGACATTATATTGAGAATGGAGAAATATTAGTGCAACTGCTTATTGTGGTATTATCACCTTTTCAATGACTCCTTTATTTTTCCGAAGACAGCTAATATCACATTCGAAAAAATGGAGCTCTTTTCGGCTCCGCTAGCAAGAGGATGGACACGTTGGCAGTTTGAACAAAACTTCGTCAACTCAGTTTCGAATACAGACGTTGCTATTTCGGTTGTACTGCCTTTGATGACTTACTGTGAGGAAGTGCAATGCAGATATCAACGTATTTAGCAAAAATGTCCACAGTTCAAAGAGCGATATGTACAGCTGCATTCCATTGAAGGTTGAGCGTCATGACCACCTTTTCAAAAAAATTTGCAGTCGATATTGAACATGAATTGTTCTATAACTATGGTACGTTACGCAGTAATGATGCATTGTACCGATCATGAGCGCAAGCAATTCGAGAGGTAGATGAAAGAGTGACTTCATGGAATCACTCCTATTTTTGAGCATAGAGACACTTCATGGTTATCATCACTCTGGCGACGCTACAGTACAAAAGCTGCTGTTTGATAAGATGAAGAAGCACCGGTAAGGTTAAAAAGTCACATTCGCAAAATGAGTTGCTGTTGACATCAACTAGTACCCCAGGAAGTGCATGGAAGTGGTAAAGTATAAATCAATGTTGCCACTGATTATTTTTGTCTGAGGTCAAAGCACCGAGAGCACAAGTTTCCAAAGTGAATCAAGGGAAGAACTTTCTGTTGAATGTACTAAAAAAAGTACTCCAAAAGGATCAAAAGTGCCAACAACATATCTCGATACTTTCCTTTAAATCAGGCTTATTTCACCGACAGGTTTACTGGGAAGAAGAATACTTGTGATGTCCACTGTAGTGTAGCCATAGCAGGTCTAAAAATTTTTAGACTCCTAACTTCTCGTTTTTTTCATTACATAATATGCTCGTGGTAATGTCCAAGAAGAAAAGTAGTGTGTCGAAATTAAAACAACGCGACAGAAGTACATCGAGAACCTGCCTCCAACGGCACCCGAAAAATTCAGTTCCACCCCACACCAGCATATGCCTTCACACCTGGCATACGACAGCACAGATGATGAATACGCGGAGTAAAAAGCTATTGCTATTAGGACTGATAGCTCTATGGCCAATGGCACTTGAACATATAAACTCTTTCTTCATAAAATATTCGCCATATTAGTTTCGACAGTTATGACGGATCTGGGAACACCAACTTTTATCTACGTGGAATATCTATGGTATAAATCCACTGCCAAAGTGTGCTAGACGTGTCGTCACATAGACGAAACCGCTGTGTGCAAACCGAATAAAGTCTGTTTGAGAGAACAAGGCAAGAACAATGGCAATCAGCAAGGAAGAAAGAATTAAAACAAGTTGTCCACACTGAACCCAGTCTATGACAGAAAGTGCACAAAAAAGAGAGCAGAGCTCCTGAAAATATTAAGCAGGACCCAAATAAAGTTCAAATTCGAGATATGTTGAAGTCTTTTCAAATTTTCCAAGTCTGTACATATATATATATATATATATATTCCCGTGACGTTCTGAAAGCGGCAGCAAATAATTTTGGAGAGATGGTATCGCCTTGCCTAACTCCTCTTTTGACGTCAATGTTAATATCGTTGTAGAATGGCGATATCTTTACTGTGAAATTTTTGTACAGCCCACTAAGAATCTTTATGTACTGAGTAGGGGCTCCTTGACTATCAGGGGTTTCCATGACTACTTCTATCCCAATTGAGTCAAAGGCCTTTAAATCGATGAAAGTGAGACAGAGTGTTCTTTTGTACTCTCACGATACTTCAATGAGTCTTGTTGTCGTGTTGATGAGGTCCATCGTACCAAATACTTTTCGAAACCCTGCTTTTTCACATGGCTGTTCTCCGTCCAGTGTTCTGTTAATCCTCTTTAAGATGACTCGAGTGAAAAGTTTATAGGCGACGGAT